AAATTATCAACATTCACTCTGAATTACTGTCCTTTGTTAGACCTCATAAAACATGGACTGAAGCCTTGGAATAAAATGTATGACTTTTGGATTCCTTACACGAAATAGGCAAATATGGATATGGGGACTCTGGAACAGCCATGGCTTTTCATGCATGCTTCATTTTACAATGCTGTCAGTCTCTCAGACTATTAGGCATAGAACAGTACTATGACTGCTGAATAATAATTTTAAAGGAAGCAGTCATGAACTAGTGAAGATACCACCTCCATATATGCATCAAGGGACTAAGGAAAACCATGAAAAATCTCAGTCACAACAGCTGGTGTCCTTGCCAAGAATCGAACTGAACACCTCAGAAATACAAGTCAACAATATTACTATTACACCATACTGCTCAATAATGCATAGGTTAGCTTCGGTTTGATTAAAGTTCAGTAACTAACTTTTTTTACATAATTTATCTTTCTTTTTTTAATACAAAAAAGAAGTTCTGGGAAGAATCAATTGTCCATTTTCCAGTCATATGACACAGACTGCATAGAAAATGACATGTCCAACAGTTCTTTCATTGTTTGTGTATTCATTGCTGTGGTAACATTTTTACTGAGAAGCTGCATAGCAACAAGATGGGGATACACATACAGACACAGGCTGATGGGAACAAACAGCATGATGATCTCATTGGCCCACTTTTAGATTTTAAAAATAAGGAAAGTGGGCTAAACAAAATATGAAACAGGATGACGAATAATGTCCAAAAGTCAATGGGCCCTTATGATAATCAATTTCATAAAGCAAGTTCTTGGTTGATAAAAATCTTGATTCTGCCAGGGCCATACAGTTGTACAGTACATGTAAAGTTATTTATATTGTGTGTGTATACATATATATATATATATATATATATATATTACTCTCAGTCAGTTGCGGGGTTGTACGAAGTTGAGGCTCCCACATTTTCTCTAAACAGTCAGCTCACAGATGGCAGCAGGGTTGCCAGCCTTCGGCATGTGCAGCCCTTCCCCCCCCCCCAGAAGATTCCTGGTACTCATTTCTGTTAGAGGCTGAGTTGATCCCAGGGTCACTGTGCGGATGAAAAGATTAAGTCAATTGAAAAGATCCACCTCATCTGGACTCAAACATGCAGCTTTCTGCCTTGTAGCATAGTGCCTCTACCAACTACATTACCTAAGGTTGTCATGTGACTGTTACAGTTGAATAAGTAGCACTCCTTTTTCATATTCAGGAGCTCTCTGGTTGACATCTCAGTCCTAGGACTGGCTACCTTACTAAGGATTTTCAAGGCTTTCCTTAGTCACTCCAGGAATTAGTATGGATAGTATCTCAAACTAGACCATGACAACTTCCTTCCACTTCTTTTCCAATTCATTATGAACTAATCATGTATACATTATGCATCAGTTTCACATATGTAGTCTCATGCCCACATCTCACGTTCATATTCTGGTACACATTTAGTAAACATTTGGTAAGAGCCAGGGTATAGTGACTAGGCTATGGACTGGATGAATGCTGAATCAGGATTTGATTCCCAGCATGAGGCAAAAGACTGTTCTCTTCTCTGCAGCTTCTCAGACCAGCTCTGGGTCTCACTTAGCCTCCTAACCAGTGATTAAAGAAGCTGAGATGTGAAGCTAATACTCACTGACATGCAATCCCAAGGTTAAGAATGTGATTCCTCCACTCCCCCTACACGCCTTCATGGTGCAGCATTTAAATAAAAGTAAAGGTAAAAATTCAGAAACGGTATTCCTGTAACAAGCCATGGAGGCCCATAGGGTTGTGAGAAGTTGAGGTTCCCACATATTCTAGACAATCGGCTCACAGATGGCAGTAAGGTTGCCAGCCTTACGCCCCAGCCACCCTTTACGCCCAAGAACATTCCAAGAATATTCCCTGGTACTCATTTCTGTTAGAGCCTGAGTTAACCCCAGGGCCATAGTGCACCTGGAAGGTTTAGGTAAATTGAAAAAATTCAATAACCTCATCGGGATTCGATCCCATGACCTTTAGGCTTGTGGCATAGTTCAACTAACTACACTACTGCATGCCGCCACAGCAGTTAAATAAGCTAGGGGAAAATAACCTCTACCCTTACATACTCTGGGAAATTACTTTATCAGAGTGTCTTTAAATTAACATTTGAAAATTTAATTTAATAAACTGTATAGGTAATTCTCTTTACATGTGGGTTTGAGAAATGTGATTTCATTTTAATGCACTCATCTAACTTTGACTAATTAACAGCATTCACTTTAATGCAATGCTTGTTCATCAAATGAGAAAGGGGTACTGCACGGGGGTGGAAGAGGAATGTGCGGGAAGATGGGTATATCTTGCCCAGTTGTGCAACCTCTTCTGCACATTACCACTGTCACTCTTTGAATGTATAAGGAAACCTTCAATACAGGGCTTCCTTACGACTGATTTATGGGATTTCACCCTTTATTACTTTATATTTCGCCGTATAACTGTCACATAATTCCAGTAGTTCCTGTATATAAATTATACAGTCTCCCTGGAGGAAAGGTCAATATTCGGGGAGGTCATGGTATCGGTCATTCTGTATATGTACATGTGTTCTATTCCAAAGTTTCTGAGACACAGTATACAGTTAGTTGAGTCCAAGATTCAGACCCATACACGCAGAATTCAAGAGAGTTGCAGAGGACTGAGGATTGAGGATGGACTAGTAAGCAGACATTGAATAATTCATTTTATCTTATAATTACAGTAATCCTCAAAGAGTGTTATAGTTACTTGCACTTACAACTTGTGAGTATCCAATAAACTGATTCACTAATCCAAACCCTGTCTACAAGTCATTCATACATGTGACAATATTTTATTTTTACTATCTTGGGTATATAGACTGGGATAGCTCAGTCAGTATAGTGCCACACTAGGGGCTGGAAGGCTGCAGTTCGATTCCCACCAGGGAAAATAGAATCTTCACTACTCCACAGCGTCCACATCACCTACGGGTCCCACCCAGCCCCATACACAATGGATACCAGTCTCTCCCTCTCTCCAATGGGAGAGGGGTAGTGTCTGTGGCGTGAAGCCGACAACTCACCTCCATCTAGTACGGAGGTCAAGAACAGCAGAGCTCTACCACCACTCCCCCATAAATCTTCATGGCACAGGAACTACTTCACCTTTTCCTACCTTTTATATGGGGGTATACATCTGTAGTACTAAATCAGCACAGTGAAGAGAAGCCATTAACAATTATCACTTTATATGAATTGAAGCTCCATCAGAAACAGTATAGAATAAGGTCTTCTTAGGTGATCAACCATGCCAATGTAGACTTCATTTCCCTCCATGGCAGCCAGCAGTTCGATCTATGTACAAATATAACATCACACCAACTCCTGAGGATGGAGAGAGAAACAGTCTTGGAAACATCAGACACTTATTCCACACCGATGTAGATGATCACCTGATTAGGCTTCACTGTGAGCAATCTCTTTACTAAGCAACTGTGCAGACTGCATTAAAATATATATCCAAAACACTTAAAGAGACTGACATACTCGTATGACCAAACTTGTCTGCTTTGACTTGAAACTTGAGACTGAATGGAGCCCAGCTACCCGCTAGCCTACCTGTATAGCCTGTCATCAGCTTCAGAATACACTTCTCAGTACCAATAGAACTGCACCTTGATCCTTAAAGGAGGTATATTTATATGTTTTAAAGGTTTTCTGTGACTCTGCCACTATCGAGAACTGCACCCATAACCCAACCAGCTAATAATGCTTTTTTTAGAATGCATACATTTTAATTTCAAGTAATGCATATTTACATTAAAATTAAAAAAATACGTAAGTCACAGTGCACGTTTCTACTGCTCTCATGCACAGATTTTTGGAAACACTGATCTCAGTATGTTAAAACATATTATTGAAGAATTTAAAATCAATAATTATTTCATGCTAAACATAGACTACCAGCATAAACTTTAATAGCTTATGTACATTAGATCTTCCCCCCAGAATGATCAAGCTGGTGAAATACGTGAGGATAAAGAAAACATATCATCAGTTGTTAGAGTGACTATAGATGATGTTTGGATTGGTGACTCCATTTATTGAACACTTATGCACACAACTTGTAACTATAACTACAACAGCCTCACTGCTTACACACTCCATAGATCACTGTAACTGCAGCGTACAAAAAGTCTTCTCTGACTTCACTAGTTGTCTCCTGGTAACAGCTTCTAACAATGTCCTCTACTTATGTCCTTACCTGTGGTGAATATCCCACAACTGACTCATTACTGCAACTGACTTTTAACTCCCAGGCTGGTGACTATCTCACACCAACCTTCAACCCTTCCTTCATTTACCTACACTGCACTCTCTCACCAATTCGGCATCGACCTCACAGAAAACACTGTTCCTCTGCTGCTGTTCAATTGTTGCTTATCTGTTGCCTAGCAGCAGGTGTTGTTTAGACAGACATTACTTAGCACACATATTGTAATTTGATAGGAAACATAGGTATATTATTTGCTGACAGATGTAGATAGATAGATGTAGGTGGGAAGATAATACTAAGATCTTAGAGAAACAGGATGAAATGGTATGGACTGGATTCATCTGGCTTAGGATAAGGACCAGTGGAGAGCTCTTGTGAACACAATAATCAACCTTTGGGTTCCATTAAATGTAGGAAAATTCTTGAGTAGCTAAGCAACTAGAGGCTTCTTAAGAAGGAATCAGCTCCATGGAGACGGTCAGTCAGTCAGTCAGTCAATTAGTTACAGCAATATGGCTTCCAATGTAAAAACCTGGAGAAAACACCCATAGAATCTTCATGGCATGTTTCAACTTCATAAAAACATCTTCAGAGAGAGGACTATACCATCAAAATTTAACGTCACTGTGATGATGAGTGTATGATCCTTCCAAGTGTCATCACTGACTGCAATGTGCCCTAATCCTCACGAAATAATTATTTCAAACTTCAATTGTCAGATCTCATTCTACTCATATTTATAATCACTAACCACATTATAATGTACACTATTAAAATTACTTCATTAGCATTCAAAATATAAAACATTAAGGAGTTTTTCAGGCCAGAGTGTAACACATATAACAAGAACCACTTAAAAGTGAGAAAGACCAGATAATTGCAGCACATGATGTGCCAAAATTGAAATATGACAAAACAAGAATCAGATCACAAATCCAGAAACTATAAATTGGTAAATTCAGTAATATATACTCAGATAAGAACACAAAATACTCCATGAAAAAGTTTCTACGTGGAACTTCATAATATTAAACTCAGTTCACAAAACAAAAATTTTGTCCTTAATTCCAAATGTTTTTCCACATAACTTCAATAATATCCAACTCCAAATATAATCCATGTAATCAGATTTGTAATCCCAAAGTTTCTGCAGCTCATTTCAGTAATATACACTTCAGGTTACAAGACAAGGTTCAGATCCTTCACATCAAAAGCTTCTGTGATTCCAAATTCCAGCACCTTGAATTACAAGACAAGTTGGGGATCCTTAATTCCCAAAGTTTCTGAAACTAATTTCAGTAACATACAACTCAGCACATGGCAAGGTAAGGTTTCCATCAACACAACTTGAATTAACTTGACTTGTCCTATATCATGTACAATGATCTACAGTGACAAAATAAATAAATAAATCAATCAATCAACAAAAGTGGTTATATAACAGGATGCACACTGTGGCAATAGTAACATACAACTCAGATTGTAAGACAAGCCTGGGATCCTTAATTCCAAAAGTTTCTGCAGTTTCAGTAACATAAAACTTTGATGATAAAACATGAGTCAGATCATTCATATCAAAATGTTCTAAAGGTAATTTCAGTACCAATCAGTTGCAAGTACAATACAAGAATCAGACTCACAATTCAGAGGGTTTTTAGTAATACTCAACTCTAATGGTCTCCAGATATGGAATGACTTGTGTCAGGGACACCATGTCAGTGCCTGCTACAGACACTGGTCCTTCCATTGGCTCAGTGACTGGACTGTGTTCCCCATCTACAGCTTCCTCTCCACCGGTATGCTGCCGCCACTGCTCTCGCTCCACCTGTTGTTCATGCTGCTTCTGCTGCCTCTGCTCATGTGTTTTGGTATGCTGTTTCAAGCTCTCACGCCATCGAAATCTACGTCCACACACACTGCACTGAAACTGTCGATTGTCTGTATGTGTGAGCAAATGCTTCTTTATGCTATCAGGATAAGCAAATGCTTTGCCACAGATATGACAAGAATACGGTTTCTCTCCAGTGTGCTGACGCAAATGGACTCTGAGGTGGCCGGTGTGGTAGAACGTCTTCCCACAAGTTTCACAGCTGAAAGGACGTTCAGAGTTGTGCACAGACTTCTGGTGTTTGCTCAGAGTTGAGGAATCCCCAAAAGACTTCCCACAAATAGAACACAAGAAGGGTTTCTCACCTGCAGAATTAAAAGGAATATTATATTTTGATTTTAAGAATTTCTATATAAGGAAATAAGAATCATAAGACAGTTAGGTGTATAATGTTGTCTGGCTGATACATTTTGCATGACATTTAATTTGTATTCTGCACAGACTCAGTGCCCTGTTAGTAAACTGATGGCTTTCAGACTGGCAGTGACATGACTAGGGAAGCACAAATGGGAAAATTCTACCTCAGGCAATCCAAGAAGAGGCATAGAAAGAGACAACTGTTGCAGGCAGTTGGACTTATGTAATGTTATCATGATATCATGTAGGATTACTTCTCTTTCAGTACCTCGTACACCAAAGGCAATTCTTTTATTACTTTTCCATATTTAAAATTTCTTTTCCTTTCTGTACCGTTAGAATCACTCATCCATACCCTTTTAAAGGATCTCCCCTAAGGAATTTCCTTGTTATGAAAACTTAATGCCATTACTATTATTTTTGTTACATTTAGTCAAACTGCACCCCAGTCAAGGTAGGATGATATCCTAAAAATGCAACCACTGGCACAGCTGAATCAACTGAAATGTAACAAAAAAGCATAAAAATATAATGTAGCGTGTACAGCTACTGCTATGCAAAAATCACTAAATAAGGTGAACAAACAGCAAATATTTGTAGGCAACAGCTTGGTAAAGACAACCCACAGTGATGAATATGCATGCAAAAGTAGGAAAACAATGTTTTCTATGTGGTCCATGACAAGAAGTTACAACAAGGGCAATATTATATTTAAGCATCCTGTTGCACTCTACACGATAAATGATACAAGCTCCGTCCCAAGTGCAAACAATATACATTATATGTCTTTGATCTTGTTCTTTCTACACTACATGTTTCGGCCTCTATCGGCCATCATCAGGTGTGGCAGCAACGTTAAGATTATACACCTGATGATGGCCGATACAGGCCGAAACATGTAGTGTAGAAAGAACAAGATCAAAGACATATAATATATATTGTTTGCACTTGGGACGGAGCTTGTATCATTTATCAACAAGGGCAGTTGGAGCAATGAGTTCAGTTGAGTTCTGCAAGGGAGGCTGAGAAGAAAGGACTTGAGCTCATGAAGCTGAAGAATCCACTGTTAGAAGCCAATGCTAAGGAACGGCTAGTGAAGACACAGAAGCAAGAAAAGGCTTAGCAGGTGCTGTGGTGATTTGTGAATTGTGGAGATTAGCAGTGGCACTGTAATTGCTTGCAGTTCCATGTCATGTATAAGTGGTCAATAAATCCATTCGTCAATCCAAACAGTATCTACAGTCACAAAACTACACGTGACAGTATAGTGAAATTCCCACTTAAGGTTTATTTTGGAAGCACATGACTTTAACATTAAATTGAGGAAATTCATCAATGAAGGAAATTTAACACTGAGACTGTTGACTTGGGATCACTGGAACCAAACATTTAATGAGGTTAAACTTTAAACTCAGGAACTGTGAATGTTCTCCTGTGCCATAGGACATCATGAAATGTACAAAAGACACTGATGGCTTTTTCATTAAATGTTTATAGGCCCATTTCTTTCATTTTCATGCTCAATACTGAAACATTTCTTTCCTTCAAGAAAATCTGTTCTACTTTTGTCAAGTGGATACCATAAGAAAAATGCATGAGGTCTTAGTTCTTACAGTCTTTTGGGATGCTGTGTAGTTTCATAGAGAGATACCAATATTTCAGAGTACTCTGCTGATACCATTTTCGGGGATGCTTTTCAAAATGCCGTGGTTTACTTTCAGAAGTTAAAACTGATAAATACATGTTGTAATACAAATATAAGGTAATAAACTTAAATGATTCTCAGGACAAGAAACTGAACACAAGAAAAGGAGGGTATATAAGAAGAAAGAAAGGAAAAGAGGAAACAAATTAACATGAAAAAGAATGGAAGATTTAGGCTCATGTTAAGGTTACATCAAAACTGCCTTATAATATGCAGAGAGAAGTATGGAATTTATACAATAAGTTGTTAGTGAAAATGGCTGCTAATCGTGTTACCTGTCAGATGGAAGAGTTAGCTGCTACTCTCATCAAGTCAGGCTGTCTGAGAGTTGGACTCTTAGCAAGTCTTACCTGTGTGGATTCGCACATGCTGAGTGAGATTGAATGTCTTTTTGAAATATCTGCCACATACAGTGCACTGAAGGTTAGTTTTGCCATGTGACTTCATGTGCATTTTAAAATCATCCTCTCTTTGGAAACTCTCCATACATTCTGGACAAGAGAATGTTTCATGTTCACTGTGTTCACTGGAGTGCTGCTTCAGTGCTCCAAGACGACGGAACTCCTGATGGCAGATCAAGCATGTGTAAGTCTTAATCCTTAGAGAAGCTTTAGAAATAGAGCCCACATCTTTCATCAAACTGTCTGCAGACTCAAGAAGTTCCTCTCCTTCCATATCCTCTCCACCAACATTGGCATCAATCCCTTCTTCTCCTTCCAAATCATCCAGTATTTTTTCCTCTGCTTTCTGGTTTTGACAAACAGGTTCACGGTACGGTACTCCATACCCTTGGAAGACGTTTCTTAGCAGCTCTTCATCAATGCTGAGGTTTGTCTTGAGTTGTTCTGTACAATGGTTCACCTCCCAGTGACAGGAATTTGTCTCTTCTGAAACAGACCGAGATGTGTGAATCTGTAACTTGTGTGGACACATTTCACAAGCAAGATACAGTGCCGAGTACAACTTGTCGGCCTTATTCAGGTCCTCCTTCAGCTCCAGCCGTCCAGAAGTGCAGAAACTGCAGGCTAGTAGTGGTTCTAGAGCCTCCCTCAAACATGACAGTTCTAGAAGACGAACTCCTTCAGCTCTCACCATTACACCACATCCCTCCCTGATGTTCTGCATTCTACAGTCAGTCCTGACTTCACATGTGACTCATCTGAAATAGGTAAACATGACTTGTTTTAATAATTAAAAGAGTGAAACTATGATATGCCTAAGGTGGGACTTCATTGGCTGATTTCAAGACTTAGCCTTTCTGAGACCTGACCAAGCACACTAGCCTGAAAACTAGCCCTTCTGGTCTACATGTAGTTAATGGTTGTGTTTTGTGAGAAAAAAAATGTGTTCTGCCATCTCTCAAAAGTTCAATTCAACTATTTGTGACCTACTAACAACAGATAATATATGTTACCATGGATATATTAACTAAATGAAGATTTCTTCAATTAATACACAACTTCAGGCATGATTCTCAGAGCCTACATCACTATTCCAAACTTCCAGTCCTAAAAGTCGAGTGTTGTTAATGTCTTATTTAGGTAATGTAAATTTATAACAAAAAAAAATAAAATACAGCATAGCTCATATATAAATAACCAAGTCAAAGTCTTTTATTGGTTGCAATTATAAACACGTCTAAGTACCGATTTCACCCGTTACATTTCTTGGATGCAACCGCGCAGTTTCGCATCGCTGTCATGTTTGTAATTTATTTATAAACAATATTTCCTACAAAATTTGTCGGCATGTTTATGATCTAACTCCATGCCAAATTGCAATCGCTCATTAGCTACTGCCAACAAACCGAAAGCTAAATACAGATTTCTTTCAGCCGCCATTCTGTTGTTTCTCAGACTACAAACAAAAACAAAAAAGACTACATAATAAATGCTGCACATTTTTCAAAAATCAGTTTACCAACATTTCGGACTATTACGTGCCGCCAGTGCCTGCTTTCTTACTGCTCGTGGTTTCGATCCTAAAGATGGAAGGAGTACGTTCATCCGAAACCTCGTTCCACCTCTCCAGGAATATACTGCATTACAGACCAGAAGATAGTACTCTTTATAGAAATATGTAATTTCCTACAGTACGTAATAACACCGCTCTGACCTCTTAAAACAAGCACTGACAACGCCATTACCGAAAAACAGTAACCAACCTAACGACCCTAACCGACACTACCGACACTACCGTGAGCGGTGAACGTTGCCAACGTCGCCAACATTGGTGATATCACAGAGACGAAGTACAACACCCCCCCGACCCCGACCATCAAAAATTCCCTTACGTCAAGAAAAATCCTCAAAGTCGGGATAAATTGTGACGGTTTGGCCGAATCCAGGGCAAATTAGCGTCCCAAATTGCCTTTGAAAAATTCCGGGACAAGGAGTGAAAACTCGGGACTCTCCCGGAAAAATCGAGACGTCTAGTCATCTTACTTAATTTGTTAAGGGCAGGGAATCTTTCTCAGATAATTCTGTAAAAAGTATTTTATCTTCACAGAAACTGTGCCACATCTAGTACATTTGGCATGTTAACTTCCTAATTATACAGTAGCCAACGTCGTGACGTGTAACACGGTCTAGATCAGAGAAGACATTCTAATTGAGTTCGGAATAACAAGAAAACATGTTAGAATAATTAACATGCGTCTGAATGAAACCTGCAGCAAATATCATGTAGATAAGTAAGCAATCGCATAATGAATTTCCACCTCCGAAAGCTCTAAAACAATATCTTACTCGCGTCCCACAGAAATATTTGGACTGATAAAGTTTATGATAAAGGATTCCAATTCTACACGTATAAAAGATAAAACAACTCCGTCCAGTGTGACTGTTGAAGTTTTTACTACTTCAGTTCTTAACACCCTTACATGTGTTACTCCTCTTTTTCACCGCATTATTCCACTCTTTGCTTCTCCTGTACATAATTCTGCGTACACCTACTTCTCCCAGTTGCTCCGTGGACTATTATAAAGACGTTAGTACAATTCGGTCTCTCCTTGTAACTTCTGTACTATCAAGCCCTCTTTTACTTATTCTTATCCAGCTGTTCTTATGTTATTTCTTATTTTCTCCTGATCTTCCTCTAGGTCCAACCTCTCCAGTTCCTATTTACGTCTATTTTTCTAGTTGTCTTCATCCTTCTTTTGTTGTCCCAGTGTGTCCCACCGCAGACTTCGGATAGCGTATGAGATTATTATCCAACGAATCCTGGATGAAATAATGAATGCAGATATAAGTCACTGTGCCTATAACAATAACCAACGACGTTAGGATATGAACAGAATCGATTTCCGACCCGTCGTTTATACTGCATTTACCTCGCACTATTGAACATTCCTAACGCAAATGCGACAATAACAGCATAATGTTTTGTTTTTTTTTCGTCCACGAGACCGTCTGCTAATAAGACAGTGCATCAAAACCAGCCACTTACCGGTCCCTCGAAAATATTAATATTGACAGAAAATTATATTTCAGTACCAAAGGTGGGAATATCGTGCGTGTGATACACGTAATTAGCTTGTTTATTTCAATTTCAGAACTATATACGCGCAAAAGTCCGTGATGTAGGCTTCCTGGTAGAGCTCGATTACAGAGTGATGGCACATGCGCAGAAGATACGTAATTTTCACGTATGGGTGAAACGGACGAGTCCATATCCTCTTATAGAAGATATGAGGAAATGAGGGCTAGACACACCTGTCTATATGCGACAGATCGCAAGGAGGGTTTTATTGTTAGAAAACTCCAGCGCGGTCTCAGCTCAATGGAGACCTGGTGTGAGCGCTGGAATATTAAAATTAATGAAGATAAGACTCGGGGGGTCTACTTCTCTCGCGGTCGTCGACCGCCTGAGTCTTGTCTTACTCTAAATGGAAGAAATATTCCATTTGTAAATAGTGCAAAATATCTAGGTGTAATCTTCGATAAGAGAGTGACATGGAGATTACACATAGAAACGATCGAAGCCAAGGCCTTCAGAACAATCATTAGAGTATATTCCCTATTCAAAAGTGAGGGATTGAGCTAACATTAAACTGACCCTCCACAAAGCTCTTATTAGATCCGTAATGACTTATGCTAGTCCCGCCTGGGAAGAATTGGGTAAATTAAAAAAAAAAGCGTCCCGGGTTCGAGCCCGGGTCTGGTCAAGTGGGATTTGTGGTGGACGAAGTGGCGCTGGGGCAGGTTTTCTCCGAGTACTTCGGTTTCCCCTACCAATCTTCATTCCACCCAATTCTCCATCATCATGATCACCCGGCGCAGGTCAATCAGTGGCAGACGTGCCGAGTGGACACAGCTGTACTCCACCCCTCGCTATGGGAACAATCCTGCCACTTAACGCAACAGTCTGAGTTAAGGACAGCATCGTAAAATAAATTACAAATAAATAAGCAGAAATGTTGCTTTCACGCTGCAACTCATTCTTCCCTTCTCGTGGAGCCCGCAGGTCAGCACAAAAATAACGGGACAGAGCGATATTGGTTATTACGTAAATAGTGTGGACATATGAAGCGCGCTGCGCACGTTGCAGCCATGTACGGCACCACACCTGATCTCACCTACCTCAAACCGATGTTCCCCGCCAAGTCGGTAACTCCAGTTCCTGCGTGTACCGACGGGAAAGGCGTTAGGAAGATTATAAAACGTTTTAAATCTCGGTACAGCTGAACTCCGACGCGCAGGTTTCTATGAGCAAGATGTTCGGGGAAAGGGGGGGGATCAGACGCCCCTTTAACTGCAATCCCGCGCTATATTCCTGGAGTTCCCCCAGAACCTGAAAATCAATCGACATTACTTCTAAAAGTTCTCATTATAATACAAAAGTCCTGGAGGTAACGTCTACTTAATTGCTCGAAGAGGAAGTTTAACCTCTTTCCTTCTAATTAAATAGCTAACTAGTTATTTAACTAATTAACTCACTGGCATTACAGTTCGAAGACCCAACTGAGCAGACAGAAGCATACGTTAGTATCTGTCCAAAATCTAAGTAACTGACTCCATGGAGCAAACAGTCGCTCAGCTACTCAGGAGTTATGAACCCAAAGGATCTTCACCGTGTTCACGAGAGCCCTTCACTGGTCCCTATCCTGAACTAGAAGAACCCAGTCCATACAAATCCATCCTATTTAGGTCCAGGGGTTCCGAGCAGTCTCGTTCATTCTGGCTTTCCCACCAAAACCCTGTAAATATTCTTCTTCTTTTTCTTACTTCTCCTTCTCACAGTTTCTTTGCGTGCTACATTCCCTGCCCATCCCACCCTCCTTGACTTCATCATTCTAATTATATTTGACGACGAGTGTAAGTTATGAAGCTCCTCATCATGCAGTTTCTCCATTCTCCTATTATATCATACCCTTCTCAGCACCCTGTTCTCAGTCACCCTCAGTTTATGTTCTTCCCTTAAATTTTCACCTGCCCCAAACCACTTTACAAAAACTGGTTTATAAGACAGGTTCCAATAGCATCAGTCTTTCAAATCGTCACCTTCCAACAGGTTTCCTCGTTAAAGTTGAATGCGTGTTTCTTGTTTCTGAGCTACGGCCCATCGAAATGAAAAGGGATGTAAACAGAAACTGAAACGAGTAAGGCAAAGGCGAGTGTAAATGTAAAGTTGTCTCTGTGACTAATTAAGCACCACATCATGAAAACGTACAAGGGAATGGGAGAACAGCTCCACACATTCTTAACCTCGTACACGTGGTTGGTCAGCTTCATGCTCGGCCTCTTTATCCCGGGGGAACAGCCCGCGGCTCACGTTCGAAATGGGCCGGGGGGGGGGCTCCAGAACCGATACGGAGGCTATGAAAGAGAGGTAAATCTTTTGACCCTAGAGGGATTCGATCCCCCATTTCCCAGTAGCTCAGCCCGTAGCTTAGTCACCATATTGACTGAACTGCTGATATAGCTCAGTCAATATGGTGACTAAAACAGAAACAATTCTGAGAGATGTAAAATTTGAGGTTTTCACGGCGGTGACTATGAAGAATGCCGTCTTCTGGGATGTGGAGCTGTGTGGATCCTGTGTGAACCAACATTTCGAACGAACGTCGGTTCACACAAGATCCACACAGCTCCACATCCAAGGAGACGGCATTATTCAATTCTGAGATAGTTTATCAATTGCCTAGTCTATAATTTATGAACCTATTTTAGTTCTGACCTTAGGGGACACACGCACACACCTCTGTGCGTTCATGATGCAGCAAGAAGTATGCAGTTTCGGGTCCTGAAACATCTACTGTTTCAAATGAAATCAGTTCCTTTTCAGGCTCAAACTCACGTCGTAGTTCCAGGGATTCATCAAAGGAAAGCAGACTGACATAAAACGAAATTTCTTTTCTTCTCAGTAAATCTCGACGCTCATTTGTTGCAGCTCCATTATACACGAATGCAATACACTTGCTTCTTCGGGATAGCGCATGTGCAGGAGGGTGTGAGCGCGCACGGCTGCAAGCGGCTGAGGTTCCAGTGGACGAGTGTCTGGCTGCTACACACGTCAAGGGATTCCCTCCAACAACTGGCAACAATTGTGCCCAAGAAAGAGATGGGCAAACGACTTCAGACTGTGGCCACAATGGCCTGCATGAAAACACTGCTGATGGTCTTCAATTTCGTCTTCTGGGTAAGTTAACAAAATGCTACAAGCACAAAATTACATGAGTGTATCCATATGGTATGTGCCACGACACTGTTTCACCCTAAACTACTTTCGAAATACACCAGAGAATACAATATCTGATTCTAGGTACTCCTTTTTGTGTAGCGTAATATATGAAGTGTTTCATAATTTGTACTCTGCACTAAGTATTCTTCAAGCGATCACATCAAGAACTCGGGTGGGGATATTCATGAGGGAGGCAAACAAATTTTAATACCAAAATATCTATGAGCATTATCTCCAAGCCACTGGGAAAAAAATGAGACTTCTAGAAACGTATTAATTTCTAGAAGAGACAACTGAAAAAAAAAGAAATTATTTTATGTATGAAATATAAAAAGTAAGAGAAGCATTATTCCGAAAGCCAAAACTTCCAAAACTGCATCAAACGGTTCACAATCATTGAGCATAGCTCGCCCCATAAAGAGAAATACTGTAGAAAATTTTAGAAAAATCTTAAAAATAACGGCAACTCGATGAATAAAAAACACAACGGAAAAAAGAAAAACATAAATCTATCACCTCAAAGAGATTTTTAGTGCTGAGTAGATAAAGCATTATAACAAAAATCTGAAAAGAGCACCTCGGAGATGTAGGCATAGACATGACAATATTAAAAAGGAGCTTCAAGGAGTAGGATGTGAAGGGACTGGATTCATCTGGCTAAAGATAGGGTCTAGTGGCAGGCACTTGTGAACGGAAAAAAAACACGGACTCTATAAAATGAGGAAATTATTTTGGCTAGCTCAGAAACCATTGGTTTAGCAAGAAATATTCTACCCATTACCCATTCTATTACTTTTTGTTCACATTGACTGAGAGTTTAAGGCTACATTCTTTCTTTAAGGTTACGTTCAAAAATTTCACTGCGATTGATAAAGAATGACGGTTTTGAATTTTCGTATGAGCGCAACCGTGAAAGGAGCTTGGCGCACTAGTTTATTAGCCCTTTATAGCATAAATTTACTTTAAATACTAAATAAAAATCCAGTTCGTACCTCACAGGAAACGTTACGTCTCCGATGCAAAGACCAACTAGGTAATGCTGTTTTGTAAAAAAAAATCACTGCTTATTTCTGGAACCATACGGAACAGACACGTTCTGTGGGTAGAATGCAGAAGTTCAGTGTGTTAAAGTCGGTGGTACATATAGTAACCAGCAGGCTTTAAAGGGTTAAAGCGGAAATAAGCTAGTGGCTAAACGGCACAAAAAAAGCTCCTCTCCCGCCTCTGATTTATATACCTGATTACAGGGTTATGTAATTACGTTTTTTCCAACTAATTACCTATAGAGGCCGCGCCATAGCTCAAGCGGTTAGTCGCTGACAGAGCACTGTCACTGTTACATGCTGGGCTTCGATCTCTGGTCATGAAGTCAGGCGGTTTACTGCTATGCATAATTTCTCCAGAACATTCTCTTAGAAATACAAGCACAAATTTGCGTATGCACTTTCATAATTTCTATGTTCTTTCTTTTCTCTTTGACCTCTGTGGTCTAGTGGTCAGAGTGCCTGGCTAGAGATCCAGAGGTCCGGGTTCGATTCCCGGGCTTACCAAATTTTCTGAGAACGTAGTGAGTCTGCAACGGGGTCCACTCAGCCTCGTGAGGATATTTGAGGAGCTATTTCAAGCAAATAGTGGCTCCGGTCTAGAAAACCGAAATTAAGGGCCATGGTGATTCGTTGCGCTGACCACGCGACACCCTCTATCCGCTAAAGTTGGCACTAACTTCGCCGAGAAGCGGTGGTTGCTCGGTCGGTATAGTCCGCTTGTGGGCTGAAACCACAGAGTTTGTTTTGTTCCGTTTCTATTTCAGTAGGATATTTAACGACGCTGTCACTCTCGAGACTATATAGAGTCGATCATGAGATGATTAATGAATGTGGAGCAGTTGGGAGATTTATAATTGGTGGGGGATACCAAAGTACTCGGAGAAATCCCGCCACAGTGCCATTTTGTCAACCACAAATCAGACACGACCTTCTCGGGATAAAATTCGGGCCACCGTGTTAGGACGCCGGCTGCTACTCGCCTGAGCCATTCCTATGTTCCTCTTAGTGCTGTGCCAGTTCATACTCGGCCTCGGTTCATAGCCTTGTAGAAAATGGTAAAGTTCTCCCTGTGCTCAACTAATGAAGCACTACGCCATGAAGGCGTATGGAGGAGTGGATGTGTAGATTCACATTTTCTTGACCTCGATGCTATCTGGAGGTGAGTGGTCAGCTTTATGCTCCGGCCGCTTTACCCCCGGGGAATGAGCCCCCGGTACCCATTTGATACGAGGTTGAGAGGACACCGAAGCCCGTCTGGACGAAATGGAGAGGAGAAAAGTCGACCCTAAAGGGACTCGAACTCCGAGCCCTCGTTCGTCCAGCCCGTCGCTAGTCGCTATACCGACTGCGCTACACCGGCTCCGATAGCCCAGTAAAAATTACAGAGAAATAAAGCGCTGATACAACGTACATCATAATAATGATAATTTCGTTAAGAAGCATAACGTGTTGAATCCCTTGCGGAAACTGTTAGCTTAATTACCAAGGCGCTAAACTTTCTCTGATGGGAACAAAACATCCAGGATATTCAGAGAAAAGCAGAGTATGGCAGGGTATTCAGGAGCGAAAGGTAAAGGTGAAGAAAGGTAATGGTTTTCCTGCGCGTAATTAACTAAGCACTAGGCCATGAGGAGGTTTGAGGAGTTGAGGAATACCTCCACTAGGTGGAGGTGAGTGGTCAGATTCACGTCTCGGCCGCTACTACCCCAGAAATGATGCATAACCAACCCTCCTTCAGTTTATCGGCCACCTAATAAGATTACAAAATAAATCAGTAACAACCAACTGAAGGTGATGTCAAATTTCGTCATAGTCTTGAAAATCATTTATTTATTTGTATAATTCCTTCTTTCTCGCTTTGTCTCCTTCGTTCCGACACTTTTGTTCGTTAACTTTCTTTCTGGTTCTCCATCTTTCAATGTTTCTCTTTACGCACGCCCGCTTAACAAACTCAGTTCTTCTGTTTCATGCATCCAGTGAATTATGCTCTCGACTTATTTTGGGGATAAAAATTCTTAACTTCCCTACTCCAGATTTGGCCAGGAGAAGAGTCTGAGATGAGTCCCAGCTTAAAGACAGATAATGTGATAATGTGCTGCGTGATCAGGGCTCTCGCAGTGACAATGGTACGGAGCAATGGTAGAATTATAATAAGCCGCAGAAACCGAGGATCTGTATCTCCACAAGTTATACGCGGCACTGGATACAGATAAGCGGCCAACTTCATCCTTTACCGCCGGGGAAGTCCCCGGTACACATTCGATATGAAGCAGGGTGGGTTTCCGAGTTCGGACGCTGTGGAGAAGAGTACCAGGACTCGAGAAGCGAACCCCGATTCTCCGGTTGTCCAGCCCGTACTCTAGTCACTAAATTGCCAAGGATGTGGCTAGCAGAAGCGCTTCACTGAGGTGCTCTGTCGTACAGCAACCGCAGCGCCAACGTCGTTACAAGCCCATCGAAATATTTCAGGCGCTGTAATTAAAGTACAGACTCAGTCTCTAAATGACAAGGGTTTTTTTCTTTTGCTGGCTTAACAATGTCGCTTCATTAGGGAAAAATTTCCTACATTCCAGCAAGGAAATTTCGTGTGTGTGCAATTAAACTACGCATCCGTTATTTAAAGGTTCCTTCATACAATTCTCTCTGTTCTTGCGTATGCCCACTTCCATCCAGGCCTTGATGCCTGGGTCTGACCAGTGCTACTGCAATTCTGCAGAAGGTTAATTCATGTAACGTGAAAGGGCGGAGATGTATTGGCTATTTCAATATCCCTCGACACAATAATTTCTTAGAAATATATACAACTATAGATTATTTACAATAAAATCTTAAAAACACATGTTTCGACCCTTACTGGGTTATCATCATCAGGTGTACTGTTTGTGCTCAGGTGCTGAACTCTTTTAATATGGATCCATAGTTTGAATATGACTATATAACATGTAATATTATGCTTGGTAACACTTCTAGTGCTATCTGCTTTTAGTCCAATTAATATATTTTATATTAATATAATTTTAGTCCAGTGAGCATTTCTGACACATTTATCTCGTGAACGTTAATGTATAGCCCTATTCAGAATATTGCCATCTTATAGAGGGTTAGCCTAAAAGAAATAGACAGTTTAAATGACTCGTGTTCGTGAAACTTATACGCGCAGCCCAAAAATGTCGAAAACACGTGCAAGTTTAGAACTCCAAGTTCCACAAAAGGCTGTGTGGGAAACGTTTACGAGTGTTCCCTTACCGTTGCAATTATTGCAGAACCTCACTGAAAGCGACAAAACCCTCCGTCACTCATTCTGTATGGACACGCAGCAACGGAAGGAAGTAATGATTTCTTTAGCCGCCAGTTTTCGGTGACGAATCAACGTTCCACATTAGCGGTACGGTGAACAAACACAAGGTTCGTATATGGGAAACTGAAATCCCGAGAGCTGTAGTAGAGCGTGTGAGGGATTCCCCTAAAGTGCACGTTTTTTGTGCTGTACTCCGTAGAAAGGTGAACCCATGTAAATATCAGGGCGTACTTTTCAAACCATGTAAGTATCTCGGCCATGCTAAAACTCTTCTTTCTGTAAAGCTTTAAAAGTGTCTATTTCTTTTAGGCTAACTCTGTATGTAAAGAGGATATATGAAACAAACTCCGTCTTAAGTGCAACAATTTAATTGTAGTTCTTTCTTCTTTCCTTCTTCTACACTACATGTTTCGGCCCTAAATGGCCATCATCAGGTGTATATTCTTACGTAGCTGCTACACTCATATATATTGTGTGAGTGTAACAGGATGCTTAAATATAATATTATAAAGGAGGATGTTTACGATTAACTATTTGTACGTTATTCGTAGAGTACGGTATTAAACGCAGGAGTCAAAGCATCATTCCATAACATACAGGAATGAAAATTAATA